GGTCTGGCTATTGCATTGCCTAAGTAGGGACAAGGCAACGACAGGTTTCTGTGCAGTTTATTGTGAATTTTTCCACAATAGAACGTCTTACCCGTCCTCAGAGAGGATGTAGAATGGTTTCCAACCAACCTTGACGATGACGTTGACGCGTAACAGCACCACGTCAAGATCGGGCTATTCATCCTGCCACCTGTATAATCACCATCACATTACCCTATAACTGCTATTAATACAGCAGGCTATCATAATCGTTACATTCACCCCAAAAACTGAAGGAAATTGATAGCGCAATTTTGGTTTGTGAGCCCGTCAACTTTACGTTAGTGATCCTCTAACTCGCGCATGCGTGCGTCGTTTGCCTATTTTTGGCTGGTCTCCGTCAAGTCCATCTTTTTCGTATCAAATATCTGTGGGACTACGTGGACGATACGGTTTAAAATGTCCAAGCTGGTCTCAATCAACTAATGGCTGCCTTCTCGGAAGGGTTGAATAGTATCCCTGTTAGAAGGATAAACACACTGATGAACTCCATGCATAGGGGAATAAGAGAATCAAGGCTGTGACAGATGCGCGAGGGAGACATGTGAGATAATGATAATTTTCATTTTTCGCTTTGGGGGGTACCGTCATATGAGTTTCAATAACTCATGAATTACTGGGGAAAATCAAATGAGATTTTGGTTAAATTTTTATTAAAGATGATTTTAAATGTTAGATAGGAAAACTGAAAAATACGTCTGAAATATATAACCTTATTTCACCTAAAAAGTTTACCCTGCGTTTCTTTTTCCTTTCAGTATATAATAGCATATTTATAAAAAATGAAAGAATATAACATATGTAGTTATTATAGGATTACCTACAAAAGCATTCATTCTTTAAATATCCTCCGAAAGACAAAATATCCATCTTTAAAAAGTTATGTCTAGTTCAATCGAATTAACTTGAATTAGTGATCGATAGGGAAAACCTAGAGAACATTATATTATTTACGTATAAACGTTAAGGCTTGCAATATATCTATCGTCATTTCTAACTTAAAAAGTGTAACCCAATATATTTTTTACTGGCTTTCGTTTATAAATATCTATATATTTTTATGCTCCTTAGTTCCCCTGCCAAACGACTGAGCTTGTTTTTGTTAAAAGCAGGCAAAAACAAATAACATCTTGTAGAAGTGAAACATGTCATTTATTGAAGTATATTACGAAAAGAAGTAAACACAGTTAACAAAATGGGGGTCAGAAAGGGGAACTCAGAACATAGAGTATTACACATCTTAGGCAAAATATTGTACAATCTGACCCCCAGCATCATAATGACATTGTAACATGATGTACATAGAAAAAAAGGGGGCGGGGGTTCAACCATACCAGAATTAGAATTCAAACCCTGTAAACTTTCACAAGGTACAGTTTCTTTATAGAGATCTATATTTATTTACTCGCCTTTTTTTTTTTAATAGAGATCTATATTATTTTTTATACTCGTCTTTGTTTTTATAGATCTATATATCTTTACTCGCCTTTTTTTTAAAGATTTCTATATATTTTTAACTGGCCTTTATTTATACTCGTCCCTCTGTTCAGAGAAATGTATATACATGTTATTCCTTACTCGCCTATACATGCTCACAACGTCAGGAGTCCTGAGTCAATACGTTGCCGTTGGACCCCTGACAAATTTCATATCTTTAAGCAAATCTTCATACAGGCACTCATGGGTTTGTGGAAATTGAATAGACACAAAAGCCCGCGACTTGCGACAATGTGGTATTTGTGAAGCTTTTCACAAATCTTGCCTGACCAAAGCAATCAACATCTTAGTAAGTATAAAGTGATAAGCCTTACCCCTTCAATGCAAGGTTCGTATTAAATTCAATGAATAAGAAACTGAGGAAAAATATGAAAATCAATTTTTTAAAAAAGTTGATAAATGAAGTTGATTGACGTATTTTATAGATGATAATTGGTATCAGATTCCTGAACCATCGAATTGCAAACCATGTTTTGGTACAAAACGTTTCAGAAAGAACTTCGTAAGGTGCGAAATTATTTGAAGAGTCCTCTGAGTGGGTTTTGCCAAAACATCTTGACTCTTTTGAAATATATCTTGTCTCAGAAGAATGGAAAGTGAACTAAAGAGCTAAATGCGGTATATGTACAATTTTGCCCCTACAAAAGTAAAAAAAATTGAAAATTGTTGAAATGTGCTAAATTGTATATATTGTCCGAAAATCTGAGTAAACAATAAATATTATAGATTAAGTAGGATATTAGCAATTTTTGCTTCTATGACGCTACAAACTATTTGGATTTTGTGCCAATTTTTAGAAAGAGGACAAGATTTGTTCAATTTTGACTATATAATTTATAGAGCACAGACTTGCTCCATAACAATGCTCACATAGATCATTCATATTATCATTCTACACTTTATATCAGATACTGAGTAGGAGTGCGATCCGTGAATTTTACTCAAAATGTCGACGTAATATACACCTTTTCTCTATAAATCAAGGAAATTTTGAATTTACGTCATTTTCCTGACGTTTTATCTAGTGTATGACGTAATGACTGATGAAAATATTTAATGCTTTGAAGTCTGCAGATAACCCTGTTTTAAAACGTTATTACATAGTTCTCCGTCAAAGTTTGATTTTGGGGGCAAATAGTGGTTATAACCAATTATAGTTCTTTAGGCGAACATGTTATTGTCTGTATCAAATGCCTAAGTTAACCACATAACTGCAAATGGAATGTACTTGCATGTACATTACATTTTTAAGGAATTAAAAATAGCTTATATTGAAGAATGTTTGATGACTAAAATAAAAGTAAGTGAATGAAACAAATGAATGCAAATAAGAAATAGGAAAATAGAAAACTAGAAAAACGTGAACATTTGCACGTGTACGATATGTTATATATAAAATTGTAATATATATATATATATATATATATATATATATATATATATATATATATATATATATATATATATATATATATATATATATATATATATATATATATATATATATATATATATATATATATAAAACTCGAGAGTAAGGTTATAAGAGAATACTTATATCGATTGAGGCCATCAGGAACATTCAATTAAATTTTCCAAGGTATGACATGTCAAACGTAATATTCGATCTCTTCCATTTGTATTGTATAATTTTCCATTTGTATTGTAAATTTTTATATTTGTATTCTATAATTTTTCATTTGCATTGTACAATTTTATTTGTATTCTATAATTTTCGATTTGTATTGTAATTTTTTAAATTGTATTGTATAATTTTTATTTGTATTCTATAATATTCCATTTGTTTTGTATAATTTTACAATACAAATGGAAAACAATAAAACAATAAAAATGGAAAATTATGAATACAAATAAAAATTATACAGTACAAATGAAAAATTATACAATACAAATGAAAAATTATACAATGCAAATGGAAAATTATAAAATACAAATAAAAATTATACAATACAAATAAAAAATTATACAACACAAATGAAAAATTATACAATGCAAATGGAAAATTATAGAATACAAATAAACATCATACAATACAAATGGAAATTATGGAATATAAATGGAAAATTATACAATACAAATGGAAAAGATCGAATATTGCAACGTTTGACATGCCATACCAAGGAATAGGCGCAAAATGTTTGCAACAGCCCTTTTTACTAGAGAAATGACTGACCCAGTAGTATAGAAACACAAAAGAAAGATGGAACTCGTAAATTTACTTATCTTGTGATAGGTCATTTGCAAAATTATTTTGTTAAAAACATTCTGATTGTACACACAAGTACTCTGAAGTTGATATTAAAAAGATGATTGAGTTTCTGATTGACAATATCTATGTGGCTTTTTGGAGACCAACAATCTATTGGAATTCCCATGGAAACCAATTGCGCCTCGTTATTAGCAGACCTATTTTTGCATTCATATGAAGCAGAATTTATTCAAAATTTATACATGAAAAGAAGAAACACTTAATGTGACAATAATTTCAACCTAACTACTAAGCTTCATGATAAACGTAATGACTAATTATTCAATCGTCAACTTCTCTTACATATGCAGCAATATACCATTATCACCTGCATACGGGGTTTATACCTCTCAGTTGATTTGATACACAAAAAAGTTGATGAAACAAAAATATAATTAGCCTCGTTTAAAGTCATCATTCATAAGTTCTATGGTCCACCGATACAATGACCTTGTCAGCAAATACAATCTGTTATTAATTCAAATGACGTTTTTCATACTAATTGTTAGGCCATTATTTACGCACACGGATTTTCCCGTTATTCCCCGATCATGATAAGGAGCACACAACAGATGTGACCGGTCGGCAGGGGATGCTCACTCCTCCATGGCACTTGATCTCACCTCTAATGTTTTAGATGTCCGTGTTTGCTCTGCTCCTGATTTCAATTGTTTGAATGGACTTTTGAGCTTGACTACTGTTCATTTTCTCCATATATTTTATTACACGGACATGTTCATGTAAGAAATTGCATAGAATAAAAAGTTGCGCGCAAAAAATAAAAGACGAAAACAGATCAATATTTTGCATCAGTAATCTAACTGTTCTTGTTAAAACGCAAGTAACAATCCCGATGTAAAACTGCTTGCACAAAATTTGGCTGGCTAGCTTTCAACCCACTGTTTCCAACCAGGGGAAAATTGATCTTTCAAGTCGAATTCCGTGCTTACAATTTTGTCCCACACAACGAAGAATTTATTTTATTGTCAAGGTTTGTTCAGTAATCATAAAATTGTTTAAGAATGAATACGAGGGGCGGAGTCAGTAGCTTCTTATACTATTCAAAGACAATAATCCTTTTATTAAGGCCGAGTGTTCTCTACAGTACATGTACCTCATGACAAAGATGTCCTCATTTTTTATTATTATTTTCTTCCTTCTTCATATCTGTAGAGCGGCGATCATTTTCCCGGAATTAACAACCCCGCCCACTCCCATGCCAGACCCAGAGTCGCCTCGAGGAGGGTGTGAGTACGATGGTGATTACTATGAGCCTGGAATCATCAGAAAGGTAGTAGATGGTCAATGTGATTTGATTGTCACCTGTGAGGAAGGAGGCAATGTTAGCGAAAGTGAATCCATTGGTTGCTATGGGGGTGACTTCGTTGGTAAGTTTATAATTTTCCCCTCTGTTCATCTGGAAGGAATTTATCATATTTGTCACCACACATAAGAAATATTATTTTCACTTTTACTGTAGATGTGAACTTATGATATATAACGAGCTAAATATATTCCTAGGCAACAAAAAAGTTAATATATCAAAATAAAAATATTTATATTAATGTATTGATAAAAATGTGTTACTGAAAGACTCACTACTACCTTAACAGGATTTTTTAAAGTGCATTTGATAGATTAAAATTGACACATTACTTTCAGAAATATCCCCAGTTGAACCGTAACCTAGAAGGAAGTAACGGTTTCTCCGACTGAGATTTTGAAAGAAGCTGCAGATCTTGAAAACGCGAACAAGATTATAAAACTCTTATAAACAATTGTTTAAAATAAATGTGTTTCCTTATTTTTATTTTTCATGTATAACAAATATTATATTACTATGAATTTTATATAATGCTCATCTGTTCATATCAGATACAAAAGTTTGGGTTTCACTAAGTACTATGCATAAACAATGATTTGGACATTGTTGTCAAGCAGGATTCGTGCTATTCTGACTTACTTTAATGGATATAAGCTGTTGTCTAGCATAATGGTTATATCCAGGGTCATACAATCCCATTTTCTTAAGCTTCTATAACAAGATTTTACAAAGCACTGGTACACAATGTATTGTACCTATTGTTCAAGCAGCACAAAGTGACAGTTAGATAGGTCAAGAGAAAGGGAACAAAATGATGATCCAGGGAGAAATCAATACTCAGTTCGTTTTGTTTTTTATGCAATGTCATTTTTCTATGTCTAGAACCTTTGAATTTCAAACTTATAGACTAGAAAGTCTGATCCTTTTTTGGGGTTACGTTTGGAAAAAAATATGATTTGCTCAGATGAAATGTATAGAAGAGTATTAAAGTGGAAGGCGGAGTCAAACTGTAATCCTACTGGATCAAACCTGCGATCTTAAAACCACACATAAATCTAGGCATACGTTTGTGAAACCTCACGGACTATTCTGTTTGAGTTATAATCTATGAAGGATGTTTCATTTGTTTGTCATTATTTTCTTCTTATCCCTACTTGGAAGAGGAGTGTTCATTCCAACATCTCAACCCACTCTTAATCGGGACACACAGGCATCAAAGGGGGGAGGATGTGAGTACCTTGGGGAATATTACGAGCCAGGGTTAATCAGAAAGGACATATACGATAACTGTGTGTCGGAAGTGACGTGTGTAGAAGGGGGCGGAGTGAGTGTCGGTGATTCTGCTGGTTGTTTTGGATATGATGGTAGGTCAATTAGCAAGGACAGTGAGTGGCGAGTCATGTAAAAATAAAAAAAAATCTTTTAATCGTGTGTAACATTGCCTTATGAGTTAGGCAAATATGTCTAGTAAAGATGAAGTATTAAAATAATGGTATATATTGCAAAAATACTTTCTACTGTAAAAGTATTACCTAAAATTTAAGAGGACCAAAACTAAAAGTAATCCATGATCAGGATTCAACATATACACTTAATTGTTTAACCTTATGATATACATGTATTTTCAGATATACATATATCTACCACCTCGCCCGACGTCGGAAAGGAACCCCCTCCATTTATACCTACTTTTCCACCACAGTGGTTGAAAAAACTCTACACATATCAAAGATATGACAAATAAATATTAATGAATATTCTAAAGTTATATTTTTTACGGATAAGAAATGTAAGTATAATGTGCATGTTACTTTTTTTGTTATCAATACGTAGGTTATAGAAAGGATGCTATGATTATTGTCAGGAATATATTGTGTAGGTAAAAAGGTCAAGGTCAGAAGGTCAAAAATCATAATTTATTAGGAGAGGTCAAGTCATGGGTAATGTGCATGATAAATATAAAAGGCCCTGTCTTTAGGTGCAAAGCTACGGCAAAGGTTACTATGTGTAAAAAGAAAGGTCTTTTCACAGGTAATGTACATGTAATGACAGCTATTTTATGACTTAGCTATAAATAAGGTTAAAGCATTTGTGACAAACAGACATACGAATAAGATTAAATGTAACTGCGCTTTCGCAAAAGCGGGGGACAGAAATTGTATCCTGCCGTCTAGGAGGAGTATTGTGATCTACATCATATCGACCAGTTACACTCGCCGTGAGCCCTCGGTATTGATGAGATAAGTGAAGTATTCTGCAGTAATACTAGTTTAAAACGATGGCCTAGCAATAAGTGGGAAATATGTCAGTTTTTTTTTTTTTACTAACGATGTTTTGTTTTTTAAAAAAAAAAAAAATGATTATCATAATGACCAGTGAGTATGCGAAATGCTGATATTAAACGAGGAAGTTTAAGATTCTATACAACCTTATTTGTCAGTTATTTACCTTGGGTTAAAATTTTCTCGTATTCAGAACATCCTTTTGCGTCCCGTATCAGTTAGGAATCATTAACATATACAGGTGATAATGGAATATTCCTAAATAAATAGAGAAATTTGACGATGATAAAGCTAAAGTCATGCTTTTTGCCGTATAGTTTAGTTGTCATTTCGCCATTATAGACTAAAGTCAGTAAAACATCAAAGTATGAAAAAGCTGTGTAAGGTTCTGTAGTGTCTTATTTGAAGTTGCTTGGACTATATCGAGTTGACATATGAATGGAATATGGAAATGACGAACAGTAATCAAGTCCATTGAAACAGTACAAATCGGGAACACAGCAAACACAGATCTCTAAAAACATCAGCGGTGGGATCAGGTGCCATGGAGGAGTAAGAATCCCCTGTCGACCTTTCTCACTCCCCGTTTGCTCCTTGTCATGATTGGGTAAACGGAAGTAACTATTGTTGATTGATAAAACGTTGTCGATATCACAAAAAAATGAACTGAGAGCCACAGAAAAAGTTTTCTTTACTTGTGTGTAGAATCAGAATGATTCGTAATGAAGTAATTTAACAGATGACAAATTACACGATATGACAATCTAATAGTTCCATTTTTTTAATTGAAAAAGCAGTTGTATTTGCTGTCAAAAAGCTTGGTCTTTAACCTATCGTGAGAACGTGTAGGATAAAGCTTTGAATAGTCATGTGTTTTTTCCCCAAAAGTTCTATCGAAGTTTTGAGAATCAATATATCATTTACACCACTTCTTGAATGTGAATGAGCATAAGCAGAACATAATTCATCTGTATAAATGTGGTTGTTCAATTTTTTGTTTTAGGTATACGCTTTATTGGAGATTTTCCAGATACACGAAAGTGTATAAATTACACATCAACTAATTGATTGATTGTTTGTTGTTTTACGTCCCATTCGAGAATTTTTCACTCAAATAGATCTGTCACCAGATACCGATGAAGGGCTTCAAATTTCAATTTATATTCGGCACTCTGGGCCATTGAGTTGTAAGGGTTCTTTGTCGTCTCATCCAAAAGACCCATGACTTTCATTTCTAATGACGGGCGCTAGGCGAAGGGACGGTCACTATGTTTAAATCTTAAGTTTGATGCGGCGCGGTGAATGAGAATCGAACCCTGGCCTCCCATTCATGAAGCCCTACCACTAGGCTACCGTGACGGCCACATCGAAGAGCAATTGAAAGAAAGTGAGATATATTTAAAAGTTTATTCAAAGATCCAAGGATCCACTGCATAACAGACTTACAAAAGATAACTTCTGTGTTCAAATGAACGGTTAAAAGCATACATGTTGTAAATAATTTAACGAAAACATATCCATAAACCGTTATGACAGATTTGAACGTCCATTTTCTAGGTACATAAAATGGATTTCATTATTTTAGATTCGTGTGAAAAACGTTAAATTTCGAATAAATTGACAAATAGTTTTAATAAACAAAATAAAGTCAATTTGTTTATCTAAAACGCACCATGAATAATAGGATTGGAGATACCCTATTGAGACCTTTAAGATAATATCTAGCAATTAACATAAAGCTGTAACTTGTTTTATAGATTTTAAATTATTTACACAAACTCACAAAAGAAACAGGTGGAGATCAAAATGTTGTGGTCGTGTCAGCTGCACCCAGCAAGTAGGTCTAACAATTAATAGTCACAAACAACAGGAAAAAAACAGAATCTTTCTGCGTTGGTCTCAAGCAATACTGTCGTTATATTTCATGTATCAATATGACGCTTGCAATTGATCAACACATTCTTACATTAATGATATAAATAAGGTTTTATTTGTTTTGGATACACATCAACTGAGTAGAGGCAATACAAGGATGTCACCAAAACTGATCCGTATCTTCTGTGTTCTCCATATCTGTAATGTGACAGCCATTCCGATAGAAAGGTCCATTACCACCTCGACTCCTGACCCAAAAGCGCTGCAGCGAGATGGATGTGAGTACGATGGGAAACATTATGAACCAGGTGTTATAAGGAAGGATAAACATGGTTCATGCGAGTCTGTTTTGATTTGTGAAGAAGGGGGTGGAGTCGCAGTAAGCGATTCTAGTGGTTGTATCGAAGGCAGGTTTGATGGTATGTTTCAGATTTTTTAACTTATTTTGATTAATGGGTTGTACATCAAAATTAGAATAAGATCAAAATAAAAAAAAAACTAAAGCTCCATTTTAGAAGAAATCTCTTAATTTTGTTACTACAGAGTAAAATTTAAAGTGATATGATTAACAGTGATCTTATATAAAGTTTCTGATTTCAAATTTATGGTTGAGAGCAAGTTCGTCTATTTTAGAAATAACTACCATTGAACCAGAGATCAAGAATCTCCCAGAAATAACTACTGTCAGCCCAATCCAGATATAAAATGGAATCCTTCTTTCTAGAGGAATTAAAATAATCGAAATATTATATTCATGTACGAGTTTGTCCTCAATCTTTCTTCACAATCTTTCTAATAATAAATGCATTCATTATGTACAGTTGTAACATACCTATAATTTCACATTGTTTAATGTTGTCTTAGAAATGTAACTAAGTTTCACAATCTTTATAACATTAAATGTTATGCATATTGTCCTTAAAAGTAACACACTTTAACAATCTTTCTAAATGTCTATCTTCTTGTTTGACACCATTGATAATCACAAGAAGTAACAATGGTTGATATTTTGCATCTGATTGAATACTTTTTAAAGAAATAATTAAATTGATATAAAATCGATCACTTTAATTAAATTGTTTAGCAATAAATTTCGTTATACATAAGTTTCATAAGAAAATCAACATATTGATTGATTTTAGAGTCCAAGATTAAAAATCATCAAGCCCTCTAAATATATTTCAGGAAAACAATGCAGATCATATTCCTCATGGTAAATCTAAGAGAAAACATAAGTTTAAAGATTGACTTTGATATTTTGATTACTAGATTTTTATATACTAGAAATCTCACTAGACAAGTTTTTAATACCAAAACTTTGGAAAAACCGAACTGTGATCTTTGAAAGTCGTCAACAGAGTAGAATATATCCTTTGGGGACTTATGACGGAGAGACCAAGGGTCAATCACATATGAAAGGAATATTTAGGGATATATTTCAAACTAACAAAGGAAGCCAACAGCTTCTTTACAAGAATTTAAATTCTCCTGACCATTCCATTCTCTCCCGAGACTTAGCTAGAATTCTAGAAAAAAAATATTACCATATACTATTAGCACATCGTTAAATACAGCTTTCCGTTGACAACAACGACAACAACAACAACAAAAAAAAAAAACAACAACAAAAAACTGGATTATGAAACGACTCATTGATTTTCCATATGGTTGAAATGCCAGTGTCAGAAGTGTAAGGGAATCTTTCACGTCAACAGTGAAAGTATGATTGTGATGGGAGATAACAAACACATTGGCGTAAGCTTAGTCATAAACATCGGTCTTACAATAAACCTACTATACACGATGTCTCTTTTGATCCACTTCTACCTTAAGTCAATAAACAGAATAAAACTTTATTCTGTTCCTTTGAAAGATTTAATTGATCTTTTTGAAAAGGATAAAAAAAAGTCCACATCTTGCATGGATTGTTCAAAACGAGAATATAATCTATGATTATGGATGTTACTAATCAAAGGACTTTTTCAATCGCCAGGTGATAGAGATGAGAAAAAAAATATGAAGTAACTAGTTTGTTCTTTTAACTTTGCCATCAATAAGAAGTAAGAGTAATAAATATTATTTAATTTAGTATTATTCTTAATCACAAAAAGGTCTAGTCAGTTTTATTAACTGTATTTCAAACTGAAGTGCACTCCCTGTACTTACAATTGTTCTTTGACTATTGCTTCCAAACTTTTTAATTAAATAAAAACAAGAAAATTAAAAAAAAAAACTCTATCATGCCTAGATATCGATCATCTGAAATTAAACCTTCATACGGGTTCACGTTCTTCGATCGATTATGTTTTTTTTGTCCATCTTTACTTCTCCTGGGAATGTAAATAAAGTTAAAAATCATGGCCTTAAATTGCGCGTATGAAACGTCCAAAATATTAAAGCACTTAGATATCTTAAATGGCAACACAATTTCGTAAATATTATGAAGTATGTGGAGGATATGCCAGACGATGGGTCAAATACGAAGGAGAAGGTGTTGAAACTTCGTAAGAATTTTTAAGATAAGTAAAACGTGGAAAAAGAAATCGAAATCGCGTGTGCTAATTTAGTATGCTATATGCGAACCACCTATCATCATTTCTTCAGTAATTCAAAATTGACTTTAAAATTAGATAACATGATCAATGTGTACTGGTGTCAGAGAGAAATGAAATGAGAAGATAACAAACAGTAATGATACTGAAAAGTCATATTAAACAATACAAACTGTTAAGCAAGATCAAGTATCTTATTCCTATCCCGCCCCTCTCCAATGAAATACAAGATTACCAAAAAAGTTCTTTTTTTCTGCTTTTTGGTCTTAAATAATGTGAATAACGACCTTCAATTTGACCTAAAATTCGAATATTATCTCACACCCAGAATTATGTAATTAGATACTTACTTTTTTTTTTTTACTAAGATGATCTTTATCATAACTCCCTTGAAAGAAGACTTTGCCAGACTGTCTAGCTTACGGAGGGATGTATTTAAAGAAATCCCGTGCCTTTTCAAATCAACATTGATTATCCTGATATACGTCTTGTGGTGCTATTTAATTATACAGATTTTCGGTATTTAAAAATATTTTCATGATCTTTTAAACAAACTTTTATTTGTCGATCTTAAACTGCCGAAATTTTATTGATGGAAAATTGATGTAATTATCTATATATTGAGGATTTTTTTTAAATCGACGTTTGTATTTTATTTTTTTTTTTCTTTAAAAGACAACAGGAATCATTAGAACCTAGCAAATTTAACTATTGGAAAAGAATATTATTTCATGTTGATAAGATAAATATACAATACTTACTATACTCAGACATAGTTTTGGAATGTATTCTAAAATCAAAAGGTAATGTGTCTTTTCTAAACAGAGAGTAGAAGACCAGTATACCGTTTTACACTGCGTTTAAATAAGATAAGTAATAAAAGAACACATATTGTTATTGAGAGTCTGTAATCATATTAAAAGGAGTACATTTTTTCATCTGTATTTAATCAATTAATACACATTTATGAAAACAAAACATTGGGATTGGTTGATAAAATAATCTCAGTGAATCGTATTAATATACTTCTAGAGAGGAAAAGAAATAAAAGCTTAGGCGTTAAATCTGACCCTGCCTAATCAAATTAAAAAAATTACTTCTAGAATTTTCATTCAATGAATTATAGAGTTTCAAGGGCGGATACTGTTCTTATGAGAAATAAAGCAGAAAAAAATTCTCCATATGTTTTCTATGCAAATGAAATTGTTAAATAATAAAGATGTTGATTACACAATTCAACATGTAAAATATTACAAGAAATTATTATTTTGCAGTTTTATTCACCGTCAGAAATTCAACAAGATAAGATGTTGTTCTGAAGCTGAATTGGAGACGACTTATTAACAAAATCTTGAGTAGAAAATACCAACAAATAAACATTTTCAGATTAATAATTAAGTAGATTTCAAAGAATGACGATCAAAGGTAGAGTTAAAGTCTATAGCGCTTAAGGATTAAATATTATTTATTGCTTATACAGATGTTGTTTTCTCCTCGTCAAAAGAAACATAATTGTAAATTCCTTTTGACATCTGTGATTTTGAATACAAGTCTTTGTTATATATAACACCCAATGTAGACATCAATACTTAATCTGAAGAAATGAAGTCTGTGTTTTTGGTAATACTGTTATTTCTGTACTGTTCTGTCTCTTCCGTACCGGTCGTATCCTCTACCCCCGGCTGTTTGTATATGGGGAAGGTATATCCCCCGGGACAATCTATCACAAAGCTATCTGGTCGTGACAACGACGGCTGTTATGGAGTAACCTGTCTGGACATGGGGGACGGATCTTACAATCTTCTGAAATGGAATAACCACAATTGTCCACCCCCTTCAACAAGTATGTCAATATTTTCACTTTAACAAAATCAGTGAATTTCACATACTTCTCGATCAAGTATGTCGGTTTGTTTACTTTATCTAAGTAGTATATGTCAGTTTGTTCACCTAATCTAAGAAGTATGTCAATATTTTCACCTAATCTAAGGAATATGTCAATATGTTCACCTAATCTAAGAAGTATGTCATTATGTTCACCTAATCTAAGAAGTACGTCTAAATATAATTTTCAAATTGTTATGACTTCATTCCTGTGCTGAAAATTTTTCCAAAAATAATATTTGGATGCTAGAAGTTTTCTGATACGATTAATTCAATCTCCAATATAATAATTGCTTAGTATTTCACAACTCTGAGAAAATGTTAACTTTGCTCTGTATCTTATCAAACCATTTCTTATTCACCAACTGGTTATCAAGAAATCCGTACTATAATTAAAAAAATATAATAAAATTAATGATTTTAACGGGGTTTTTTTTATACAAGCACTTTTTTGATTTTGTTTAAACTTCGATATTTATTTTCGCCCAAAGGCCATATTCACTGTGATTTTTATAATCTTTGAGATGTCAGTCTGCTGTATATAATTCGCGTGGGAATTTGATTTTATAACTAAAAAATATTCAATCCCACGCAAACTGAGTATACACTATTTCCTACCAAATTTCCTATATTTCGTTATAATAAAAATAGGGGTGACTGAGGTAAAACTGTAAGACTAAGTACAATTGCTATATTTTTTTTTATATAAGAACTCTATACAAAAATAAGACAGTTATCTATACCTAACTCCCACTTCGATATAGAAAGGTATTTGTGATATTGTTTACATCTTCTGGCATTTGTAAGGGCAACATAATAACAATTCCCATTGCATATGGAATGATAAACAACTGTAGAGAAGTCATGAGACAATATATATATATAATAATATTCAAAGATATATAATCATAATAAAGAAATTTCAGTTGTTCAGTCACGAAAGATTTCATTCTCAATTCGGAATATAAAATTAAATTAAAATCCAATTTCGAAATAGGAAAACCATGCAAAGTCACAAGATTTCCGAAAACCGTAAACGTACTTTTGTTTTTTAGCTGTAATCATATTTTAGCACGTTTAGTGTTATTTCTTGTCTAATTTAAGTACTCTCTAATATATGATTAAGTCAAACCCATTAAGGAGCTTAGCCTCAAATTCGTTAATTCAGCATTGGTACTAATTAGTTCCCGAGGAAGACTGCGCTAATTCTTAAGTGCGCTTATTTATGTACATATAGAGTAGTCCTGAAACATATGACTTAATCTGGTCTTCATTTACAGTATGTCACAATATACGGCTAAAATTCTCACAAGGAAAGTTATTCACTCTTGTGTCTTTTTAATTACAGATGAAAATGAGTGAAGACATCCACGCATGGAATCAAATTCCTGAAGAAGCTGTATGATCTATGTGGATGGATTTTAAATTTTAAAGTTAATAAAGGTTCTGAGTGTGAACTATGCCACAGAAGGATTGTAATATTGACAAAGACTTGCTTATATTGTCTAAAGAAACGTAGCTTTTATTTCAGATATCCCTTGTAAGAAGAACACATAACTTTTCTTAACTTTCAAATGTCCGTATAACTTAAAAATATTACAGCAAAGTTATATCTATACATTACTCATTCCAAATAAAAGTACAAAAAAGGCAGTGATTACTGTTTTAAATTTAAAAATTGAATAGAAATCAATTCCAGTTGCAGTTGTCCATGATGACCGAACACCACTTTGAAAATATATAAAGAATCTACTTTTGTAAGAATTTTTGATTATAAATAAAGGCTGCAGCATGCTCTGGAATCAGTGAAATTAATGAAGTTGAACTATCATGAGACACAGTAAGCATGCAAAGAGGCCGCAATCTAGGGTGGACATCTGTATTTCATTCTTGATTCACGCTCTTTTTACATTAATCATTTGGCATGTATGTCTATATTATTTATTTGGAAGGTTATTATAACTGTATTTTAGAGGAACCTGGTTTTGATTCTACACCTAGAAATCCAACTTATAGTCATAGTTCACTTTCAAAGGATGATTTTTTTTTCCAAAATCACATTTCAGTCTTTTATACCTTTAACATTCCAGCAATCAAAAGTAAGTTCGATCTACCCTACATGTAATGGATTCCTAAACAATCACTCTTATTCTACATACAAGTACTCTGAAATTGATTTAAAGGAAGCATTATTTCTCATTGATATCTATGTAGTCCTTGGAGATCAGGTCGTCAAATAAACTGTTGCATTTTCGATAGGCAATAATTGTCATCCTCTCTAAGCCAACCTGTTTTTATGTCCCTGTGCAGCATAATGTATTCAAAACCTTCTATATGAGAAGAAGAAAACACTTGCTGTGACCTTCAATTCGACATTCAGATATTGATGACTTTTATCTATTAACAATAGTTTCTTCCATTCATATGTCGACTAGATTTATCCAAGTAAACTCGATATAAATTACACTACAGAGTCTGCCTCATCTGTTTTATATTCGGATGTTTTACTGACAATAGACGATAATGGGCAACTAACAACTGAATGACTTCAGTTTTTCCATCGTCATCTTTCCTTATTTATGCAATATTATTCCGTTTTCTATATTTTTTCAATATCATACATTGATTTAATCATTCAATATTTTATTCAAATTCCTAGGGGCATAAATATGTTCATTCGCTTCAAGTTGATTATTAAAGATGAGTTCATAAAATGTTCTTTTCTTAATGTTACAAATGTTCAGTATTAAGCTCTTCCATTCTGTGAATCTTTGACACTTTCACGCCGTGAATGAACCTTCAACTAAAATATTTCAGCTAAGTCTTGCATTTATTTAATCAATCATTATTTTATTCAAATTTCTAGGGACACACTCAATAACAAGTATTATAAGAGGACTACATTGATATTTTTTTTCTGTGTTACAACTCTGCCATATTTCACTCTTTCCTAGCTGTGTATCTTGAACAAACCAATGTTCATGTAGTAAAGGCAAATAAGCTGACCCTTAAGCTGAAATATATATACATTATTAAATGACTACCCATTTTTTTCTTGGATCTTTTTGGGGCAAACGTAAAGTCCAAATTCTTATGAATTAGTTTTCATAAGGAAATCGAAAATTTTAAAAATTAAAATTAAATTAGTGACTTTGATTGTGAAAAGAAAAAAAAATGAGGAAGGAACTGTTCATTTTTTTTTTTTAAATCAGTAACCAGAACAAATTGATATTTTGAATATCTATATTCTTTCACAATTTCGCTTTGAAATCTTTTAGGCAATTAATATTCTTTATTTTTCATTCAGCTCCTAACTTCTCAAATAATCATGATGATGAAAATGTCATTCAGAAAATAACAATTGTGAATACAATTTGAATATCAAAGCATGAGTTAGGTAAATTGTTAAAAAAGCCTTTCGAGAAAAGTAAAAAGGCGAATGTACGAACAACATATTTTTCTGAAAAAGTGACACTTGAATTGACCTCTGATGTTTTTGGAGGTCCGTGTTTGTTCTGCTCCCAATTTAGATTGTCTGAATGGACTTTAAGATTGAATACTGTTTGTTATCTCCATATGAAATATATGAAGATAACGAACAGTATTCAAGCTCAAAAGTCCATTAAACAATACAAATTTTGGAGCAGAGCAAACACGGACCTCAAAAACATCAGAGATGGGATCAGGTGCCATGGAGGAGTGAGCATCCCCTGCCGACCGGTCACACCCACCGTGTCTACCTTGTCATCATCAGGAAATAACGGAAAAATCCGTAGACAATTCAGTGTGTAAATAATGGTCTAACAATTAGTATGAAAAACATCAGTCAGCATTTGACTCAATGATAAATTGTATTTGCTGACAAGGTCATTGTATCGACCATAGAACTTACGAAATGATGACTTGTTTGTCAATAATTTACCTCGTTTTAGAAATTGTACATACGTAGAGCATGCTCTTACATATCGAATCAATTGAGAGATTTGCAGGCGACGAAGGTATATTGCTGCATAAGTAACGGAAGGTGACGATTGAAAAGTTAAAGTCATCACGTTTTTCATAAAGCCTGGTTGTTAGATTACCAAAGATTACCGTCTTTTTCAAGTAAAATATCCAAATATGAAACAGATATGTCAGACTGTGGCATCTTTTATCTCAAGTTCACCAGGATATATCGTATCGACATAAGAATGGAAATAACCATTGTTAATAGACAATACGTCGTCGATATTTCTAAATGTCGAGTTGAAGGTCACGGCAAATGTTTTCTTCTTTTCACGTATAAGATTTTGGACAAATTCTGCTTTATATGAATACAAAAAAAGGTCTGATAATAACGGGGTGCAATTGGTACCAATGTGAACTCCAGTAAAGACCTGGTCTCCAAAAACCATATAGATATTGTCAATCAGAAACTCAAGCATCTTTTTCATGTCAACTTCAGAGTACTTGTGTGTACAATCAGATTGTTTTGTAACAAAATAATTTTGCAAATGACCCATGAGTACGTAAATGTACGAGTTCCATTTTCATTGAAAAAGCAGCTGTCAATGACATCAAAAAGTCTGGACTTTAATTTATCGTGTGGAATGGTTGTGTATAAAGTTGAAAAGTCGTAAGTTTTTAAGCTGTTGTTTTTGGTAAAATTTTGTGATTTCAAATTTTTCAAAAGTTCCTTGGAATTTTTAAGTATCCACATCTGATTTACACCACATCTCTAATATATTGTTGCACATTACTCTTGAAGTTGCTCCTTCATTATTGTTAATATCTTAGTGAGGAGTAAAGAAAGAGGCTTGGTTGAACGTTTACATGCAATGTATTTTTCTGAAGAAATACAAACAAACCACATACATTAGAAACAGTGACCCTTTTTTCCTGTCACTAAAAGTCTGTTAGCATGTGGTTGGTCCAAATACGTGTGATCATAAGGTACGCGAAATTTTGTAAGAGTTGTAGCCCATTCCCTAACAAAAATTTTCGATAGTAAACTATATGTTGTTATACTGCATGCTTTAATATTTTGTTTCCGAAAGAATCCTTAATCTGTATTTTTTTTGGAGATTTTTAGCCTTAATATCCCTTAAATTCCATGCCAATGATATACTAATAAATTTTGGAAATAATATGTGAATACACAAGTAATATTTCCTTTTGATATAGAGAATTTGCATGTAAGAATTGAAGAACATGACATAAAATACTTTAAAATTTTAAGTAAATTGCTTTATTTAAGTATAAACTTCAATTTACTATTGTAAACTTTGTTTAACTATTGTAAAATATTATCAACAATAGTTAGTAAAACTTTTTTATTAGAGTAGGACTCATCTTTGAATGATTTCTTATAAAAAGCATTAATGGTTAATAATGGCTAATAATTGTCAACGGGTGGTCAATCTCGCAAATCCTATTAACAATAAAATTATGCACAGGGCAAAAACACGGACCCCCTGAAACACCGAATGCGGGATGAGGAGCTCTGAATAAGTAAGTACCCCCTGTTAACCGGTCACACCCGTCTTGAGCCCTCTCTATAGTTTAAGTGAAAAGTGTAATCCGTCAAAATTTATATGAATGTATGGATTAAAAATTGATATGAAACTCAAAGATCTTTCGAATTTGATCCCACGATAGTTGTATTTGAAAACAATTTCATTTTAACAACCTAAGAATACTGACTTTAAACGAGACTGCTTAAAGACCTGATAAATCAAATTATTTATCAGTATCCTGCCTCAATGAAAAAAATGATCGTACAAAGAACATGCTCTTGGACACTGATTCAGTTGGACACAGAAACATGGTATGCAGCTGATAATGAAATATAATTACATAAATAGAAGTTGAAGTAATCCTTTTTATCATAGAGTATATTTGCTTGTTTACCGTTATGTCTAGTTTTTAGTAAATCATATATAAATGAAACAGATGTTTTTTTTTTATTCTGTCGTGTCCTTTTTTGGATTCAACGGGATATTGTGAGTTGACATATGAATGAAAATTAATATTGCAAATTGATAAAATATCCTCGATATATTTAAATGTCGCATTAAAGGCCATATCAAAAGTTTTGAATAAATTCTGCTTCATTAAAATATAAAAATAGGATAGCTAGTAAAGAAGCACAATTTGATCCCTTTAAAGACTACATATCACATAGATATTGTCAATGCAGTACCTTAGCATCTTTTTAATTAAACAAACATCCGTAAAGATTCCTGTGTTACTCATAGCTGGAGTAAGTCACTTGGGTTAGGTTCTTTGACTGTGTCCGTGAAAAGCAGACTTTCTCCTTAGACCATTCAGCTCTGGGATCTAGTTCCTTTGTACCTTGGTGACCAGCCGTAGTGTCTTGGCGATGATAGGTTGTGTCTCGGTGAATTAAAGTGATACATGTATATATAACTTTCATAATGAGTTCTATAGGGTGTTTAAGTTTGTTGCAACAAAATTGTTAATTAGACCCCTCAGGTTGCAGCTTGAGGA